TGAGATTCTCTCTTTCTCTTTCTGGCCCTCCCCTGCGCTCTCTCTTCTCCCTTAAAAATAAATAAACATTTGTTAGAAAAGAAAAAAAGATCACTGTGAATAAAACAAACAAGCTGAGTGCGACAGCATACTTGGTATGTAGAGGTCTAAGTGCTCTAGGGATGGGAACTAAAACCCTGGCTTGAGTTGCTCCATTGGAGTCACAGGCTCTAAACCAGTTTGGAGACCCAGAGTCACTTCATGGACTGGGTGGTCGGTCCCCTGAGATACACTCTGCACCATTGCTGGACATGGAAACCATAAAGGGACCTGCAGGCATTTACTCAAGTTACAGGGTTGTTTTTTTTTTTTTTTTCTGGAGAACAGGTGTGCTTTTGCAGGCCTCCCTCCTTAGCAGGCCACTCCTATCAATTGACAAGGGAAAGCCTTTGTTACCCTTCTCCTGTCCCCACCTCCAGAAGTGTGGACGCTTCTGGGATTTACCGAGATCGCTGGTAACTCAAGCACTAACTCTGCGCATCTCTCTTGGATCCTATTCTTGTTGGGGCGAGTTTATTGTGAACCATCTCAGGTGCGCACTTCCGAAGTGCTAGCGCACAGTTGGCACGGAAAGGAGTGTGTTGAGAGGGCGGGGGAGGGGGGCACAATCTGGGCGATGGGAGGGCAGAGGCGTCCAGGACCGCACTGTAAGGTCGCCCTCAGAGCCTAGGAGTGGGGCACACCCGAGGAAGGAATGACAGTGCTCCTTTGCCATCCTGGGCGGGGTTGCCGCCCTCAGTCTCCAAGTCACCCTGGGGAGCATAACGTCTCTTTTCTCTGCCGGGTCAGGATGGGCGGGACCAAAGGTGTACATGGGGTCTCTCGGGCCCTGGATCATGGGGGAGGCTTCTGCTTGCCCTTTCTCTAGCGAAGGGGCGCAGCCCCGCCCGTTGTCTTCGACGAACCAGGGATTTTTTGCATGGCTCACAGCAAAGCCAGCTCCGGAATCTTCGGTTAGTCGGGGTGGGGGGGTGGAGGGGGCGGGGCGAGCCTGCAGCTCCGCCGACAAAGGAACGTGGACCGAGGCTCCAGCACAGCATGTGCCATGGGGACCTGAGCCCAGAGGGAGGCTCGGAGATCATATTTCAGTCCCGTGACCCCCGGGAACAGCAAGCAGCCGCAGTAAGCTCCTTTCGGGGGTATTTTCCTTCTTTCAATTCCAGGAATATATGTCGTTCACAGTTATGGCAAAGCCTCGGGGAAGAGTTCTACACCCAAGATGGCCAGCCGGAAACAGGCTTCTCGTGCCGATGTGGCGAGGCCAGATTGGCTAGCTGGCTACCCACAGACGAACGCGCAACAGCGTCCCCTTTCAGCTCTTGAGCGGAGGCCACGCCTGCACGCAGGCGCACAGCGCCGCTGCATCTATGGTCTGAAAGTCTGACAGAGCGTCCGCCCGCCCTGGCCAGAACTCTATGGTTCCTCTGCGCGAAGACCGGCCGCCTATATAAGGCATGCGCAGGCGTGGGAGCGCCTCTTTTCCTTCGGCGCGGTGAGTAGTCGTGCTTGTGTCGTTGGCCTTATCCTTGCTGGTTCTCTGTCCTGGTTTGAGGCCTGTCCCCGTCTTCTGTTCCGACTTTTTTTGTTTCGTTGCAGCCACTGAAGATCTTGGTGTCGCCATGGGCCGCCGACCCGCCCGGTGGTGAGTGCCAAATTCATGCAGTTTCGCTGACGTGAAAAAGGAGGGAGAACTGTTTTTCAACGCTAAAAACAGCCGTGGGGTGGGGCCTCTAGTGTACCTTTCCTGTATTGGGAACAGGCTCCACGTTTTTACCAATACCTTCCGGGTCGCTTGGGGACTTAGTTTATACTGTTTCTCTTAAAAGTTTAGGCCTTTCTTAAGCGCTGCCTCTATTTTGTTGGGGAGCCAGATTTGCCCCGGACTGCATGTGTTCGCCACTTTCGGGCTGAAATAGGCGTCCGCCTTACATTCATTCTGTCCTGGAAATTCGCTACGTTTTCAGACTCGATACCCTTTCAGGGCCTTTGTGTGCCATCCCCATCTTATTTCCCGGCGACATGCCCATTCGGCCTCGGACGCCAAGGGCCGCCCTGACCGGAGGGCTCAGCCACCTCGTGTGCCCTGCAGGGGGCGTTATAATCTTTTCACATGTGGTTTCGAAGGCGGATTTATTGCCACGTGCCCAAAAGTCATTGGCATTAATTGAGTTAGTAATAAGCAACAAATTTGCAGTGCCTTTAAGTGAGAGGCTTCTTTTATTTAACTGGAAAAGTGTCCTTCCATCTGTTCACCTTATGGGAAGTATGGAACCGTAGTAAGGGGGTGAGGGAGATTTTTTTGCTATTTTAGTGTGAGTGTTCTCTAGTTTTTGATCACGTTGGTTTCACCATGTATTGGTTAGAGCCAAGTTCCAGGAGTGGAGACAGCTAGAGATTGACATGTTGCTCCTGCCCCGGTCCCCATTCCCTGCCCTCCTTTGGTCTTAATTTAAGGGAGCTCTCAAAGTGTTTATTGTTGGGGTCACTTGTGAAGTATAAACGTGATTTCCCCCCCCCCCACACAGTTACCGGTATTGTAAGAACAAGCCGTATCCAAAGTCTCGCTTCTGCAGAGGTGTCCCTGGTAAGTAGTGGGAGAGCTCCCAAACTGGTTTGGCTGCACTGAATCAGTGGTCTCTGGCACCCCTCCCCCCACATACTTATCCAAGTTTTTTTCAGATGCCAAGATCCGCATTTTTGACCTGGGGCGGAAGAAGGCAAAAGTGGATGAGTTCCCACTATGTGGCCACATGGTGTCAGATGAGTATGAGCAGCTTTCCTCTGAAGGTGAGGCCAGATTCCTTGTTAACCTCATCTCTTCTAAGTGAGGGCCAGGGATGGTTACAGTGAAGTGGCTCTGTCCTATCTTTTCTCACTCTGCTGCCTCCCGCCTGCCCCCATCCTAGCCCTGGAGGCCGCCCGTATTTGTGCCAACAAGTACATGGTGAAAAGCTGTGGCAAAGATGGTTTTCATATCCGGGTGCGACTCCACCCCTTCCATGTCATCCGTATCAACAAGATGTTGTCCTGTGCTGGAGCTGACAGGTGAGCTGGGTTCTGGGTGTTTGCTTTTTCAGGGGTTTTCCCATAACTTGAGGCTTTTGTTTGCCTTGTTCTTTTCATTGGGGCAAAGAGATGGTCTCACCTACAGAACTCACCCACAGTAAAGCCAAGTTAAAGGCTACCAGAACAAACACGAAAGGTACAACGATTAAGTCTAGCTTCTGGGTGACAGGTGGAGGTAGGTGCTTCTGAGGGAGAAGCTTTAATCCTGAGGATACCCATCTGCCACCAAGCAGGCGGCTGAGGTGGTCACCAGTTGGAAGGCTTTCAGATGAGCCCCATGACCCTTTGTAGGGGCTTGCCTAGTTGGCGTCAGGTTTTCCGTTTTCTGCAGCCAACTAAGCCGACTGTGCCTTTTCCCCATGGGGCCCAGTGTGCAATGGCTGCGCACAGCAGCTTCCTTGGTAGTGTATGCAGCCTGTTGATTGTACGGGTTGCCCTAAGGGACCTTGGAGACAGCTTTTTCTGGTGGACATTGAGGTTTGGCCTCATGCTTTCTCCAATCTAGGCTCCAGACAGGCATGCGGGGTGCCTTTGGAAAGCCCCAGGGCACAGTGGCCAGGGTCCACATTGGCCAGGTCATCATGTCCATCCGTACCAAGTTGCAGAACAAGGAGCATGTGATTGAGGCCTTGCGTAGGGCCAAGTTCAAGTTCCCTGGCCGCCAGAAAGTAAGTTGTGTTGAAACCTTGTTCCTACTTTACTTGCTGTAGTCAGTGTTCAGGTTTCCTGACTGCATTATTTTCATCTCTCCATAGATCCACATTTCCAAGAAGTGGGGCTTTACTAAATTTAATGCCGACGAGTTTGAAGACATGGTGGCTGAAAAGCGGCTCATCCCAGATGGCTGTGGGGTCAAATACATCCCTAATCGTGGCCCCTTGGACAAATGGCGGGCTCTGCACTCATGAGAGCCTCAGCAGTGCCCTCCCCATTCGTGCCCACCAATAAATCCTGCTTCCTGTATTTGTCTTTGCATCTGGATTAAATGGTGGGGTGGGGGTTCTTTAGATAGTCTAGAGTCGTAGTCTTATCTTTTCAGAAGATTGACGAGCTGGCCCGGGCCAGCAAGGGGACACATGGGAACATGGCTTGGGACCCGCGGCCTCTTAGTTGTCTAGCTGGGACCTCGACTTAGACCTGCGTAGATCTGAAGCTATCAATTCAAAATCCCCTGCCAAGTTCCCACTGTCATTAGTCCAGAATAGTCCACTGGGTGCTGCCTTAGTAAGGTGCCCTGCCCAATGACAGGGCTGGTGGCCTAAGGCAGGCTTCTGTCGGCTGTAGTCTGTCCCCACGGTCCCCAGGCGGGGTTCCAGCGTTCCAGGGGACCTGGTCCTCCAGTTAGCCCTCCCATGTTGGGAGTCGTCAAGCACCTTTGATTTGACCCAGCCCATCCACCGCTCCTATGGGCTTTCCAGATCCTTCACCACTGTCCTTACCAGTGTCCGCTGGGACAGCCCCCCCCCCCACCCCAGCTGAGATGGCCTGTAGGCTTGGCAAGAAGAGACCTTTGGGCAAGTCCTATGCGCGTCCTGAGAGCCAGCGTTACAAGAGCAGCATTAGGCTGGGCAGCCTGGGAGCAGCGAAAAGACGCCCAGGGAATTGTCACATGAAGGGGATAAAGGCGTCTGGTTCCCGGAGCTGTGCGCTGCCGTGCTCAATCCCGTGCCCCTGAGAGTCCTTTTGTAATCATTACTTCCAGCCTTTTATGAGGCTTAAAGTTACCTTTATTTTTGACTTTTTTTAAACGTTTTATTTCTGAGAGAGACCTGTTGAACAGGGGAGGGTCAGAGAGAGCGGGAGATATAGAATCTGAAACAGGCTCCAGGCTCTGAGCTGTCCGCACAGAGCCGGATGCGGGGCTGAACCCACGAAACATGAGATATGACCTGAGCTGCAGTCAGACGCTTAACTGAGCCACCCAGGTGCCCCACCTTTATTTTTGACCTTGAGGTGGTTCTCAACTGTAAACATTTGTGCGTAAGTGCCCTGATACCCTGCTAGGTGGTTTTACTGAGCTCTGTACTCTGGAAAGGGGCTGGAGAAGGAAAGGTTCTGTGATACCAACACCCTGAATAGAGTCCTTTGATGGCATTTTGCTGTGTATCCTGTCTGGCAGCCCCTTGAGCTGCACAACGTGTACACAGTTACTGTTAGAGTTACAAAGTAAGTGTTGCATACAGATGTTTCCTGTGGACAACCGGAGCCCTGACAGCCACTGGAGTGACCCTGGGTGGAGTGAGGCTGGGTTGCAAGAAGGCTACAAATTTGGGCTCGGCAGCACGCACAGCAAGCATCGGGGCTGTTTGAAACATTTTCTTTTTGCTAGTTACTGTGTGTGTCTACACTGCTTATCGCTCCTTGTTTTGCTGGAGTCTATGAAAACGGTCCTTTGATGTATCAGCTACACAGGTGACATCCCCACAATTTAGCTTTTTGTTCTCAGTGTGTAAGTTTCCTATTTGTCATAGAATAAAATCACTGGGTCTGTTGTGATTCCCTTTTCTGAGCCCTGCAGTTTAGCCAAAATCACCTGGGCTTTCTTTCCCCCTTCCCCTGCCCCAGAGCCTGCTCTGTCCGCACTCCTGACAGTAGCTGGGGGCACAGTGGCTCGGGTCTAGCCTCCGGGCCCCTCCCTGCCTTCTTCCTCTTCTACATTCTAATGCCAGCCAGGAGCCCAATCAGAGAATGCAAGCCAAACCTAAGAGACAGAGGAGAGCTGCAGTCCCATGGGGTGGGGCTCCAGTCAGATGGAGGAGGGCTGCGGTTGCACCCTCCAGGTGTCTGGGCCCCGGGCAGTCCCAGAGCAGACAGACCAGGATTGGAGTCCTGAAGGCAGCACCGTCCTCACGTCTGTGGGCAGCAGGCCCCAGGCTGCCTCGGGCCCCCAGGCCCTGCTAGGGAAGCAGCAGCAGCAGCAGCAGCAGGGCGGCCGCCAGGCCAAGGGGCTGGGCCCTGCGCGCCGCTCGGCTCAGCTCCACTTCCACGGGGTAGTGGTCACTGACGTTGAGGGCCTGGGGGGCGGGCAGCGAGACAGAGCGTCAGTGCCAGGGCTGAGCCGCTTTCCCGGGAAGCCGGTCCCCCGCCTTTACCTCATCCTCGGTGAGTCGGAAACTCCTGGGGAAGTCAAAGGCGGCCGCGGAGCGCAGCAGGCTCTGGCAGCGCTCGCCATGCAGCACGATGCGGTCATAGGCGCAGTGGGTGCTGGCGCGCACCGTGGTGTCCTCCTCGTCGGGGATCACCCACTGGAAGCCCTCCTGAGTCCGCAGCACCAGCTCGCCCAAGCGCTTTTTGGTCAGCGAGGCGCAGTCAGCATTGAAGTCCCCAAGCAAGATCATGTCCTGGAGAGAGGGTGGCAGTCAGGCCTGGCTGCCCAGCTGTCATGTCCCCAGAACCTCCTGCACGAGGCCTCCCCTCCCCCTCCCCCGCCCTACCTTGCTCTGCCAGCGCTCGGAGACGTCCAGAAACACGTCGTACAGGGCGTTCAGCTCTTTCTCTACGGCCTTTGGAGTGGTGTGCAGCGGGACCAGCACCAGGCGGGGGAGGACTGCAAGACCCAGGGGCCGGAGGACTCACACCCGGTAACCGAGCCCTTGGTAGAGCCAGCCAGGCCCTCCTTCCCACTCCCAGACAGCAGGGCCACCCCTCTCCCGTTCCTACCCTTGCTGGGGAAGGTGAACTGGGCCACAAAGGGCTCCCGGGCAAAGAGATCATCCTCGTCCTCGTACACGTAGGAATCCAGGACCTGTGTCTTGTGTGATCTGGGGGACCAAGGGGTGGGAAGCAGTGGCCTCGCATCACAGATTTGGGTTTGCAGGTGCCCACGTCAGAGCTGGCAGAGAGGGGCCCTCTGCAGCCCCGTGTCATGTGGCCCCAGCCTTCCCAGCCTTTTTCCTAGAAACTGTTTTTAGTGAGAGAGAATTCACATACCATGGAAACCACCTGTTTAAAACACACAATTCAGTGGTGTTTAGTGCATTCACAGGTTGTGCAGCCATCACCACAATCAATTTTAGAACCTTTTCATGGCCCCAAAGAGAAGCCTTGTCCCCATGGCAGCCGCTGCCCATCCCCCTCCTCCTCAGCCCCCGGCTGCCACGGATGTGCTTGCCGTCTCTGCAGGTGTGTCTGTTCCAGACGCTCCAAACGGCTGAGGGGCGCTGCAGCGTACACGGGGGCCGCCCTTGTTTATCCAGGCAGCAGCTGATGGACACTCGCATTGTCGTTTTTTACTTTGGGACCATTATGAGCATTGCCATGTGGATGTCTCTCTGTCCCCCTCCCCATTGCTTGGAAGTGAATTCTACACATTGTACGATTCTATCTGTATAAATAGGCCTCCTTACTGGACCCCCCCTCCCTTGCCCTCTCCATCCTGACCCCAGAGGGCTTCCCCCCACCCCAGGCTGTCCTAAGGACTTTGGGCTGTCCCAAGGCCCACACTGAGCCCCGTTGCTGGGTCTCTTCCCAGAAGTGTTAGCCGGTTCCCAAAGAGGAGGCCAGCCTTGCCCCAAACCCTGCAGGGGAGCTCGCATCTGTGCGCGGAGAAGGCAGGCCTCTCGCTGTAGGGGCACATGGGCATCAAAGCTGAGTAGGGCAGAGGAGAGGAGAGTAAGACCCCAGGTAAAATCACGGAGGAGAAAAAGTGCCATGAGAAGGGGAGGGCCGTCCCCGGGGAGGCATCAGCTGCCCGGCCGCCGGTCGCACTTACCGGTAGACGTACACGTACTTCTCCATGTATGTGCTCCGCCCCAGCAAGGGGCTGCTCAGGACATTGTAGGGCCCGGGCTCATCAAATCTGCCAGGTTAGGGAAAGCCGGGCTCAGCGGCTCTGAGGCTCTTGAGGGGGGGGTGCAGTCCCACAGAGCCCTCCTCACCGATTGAGTTCTCGAAGCAGGAGGGACATAGCACTGCCGGTAGAGTCCACCACCTCCTGCAGCACCATGATGTCACAGCGAAGCAGGATCTGCAGGACCCCAGGGCGGCCCCATTCAGCACCGGCGACCCCAGGAGGAAGCTGTGGTCCCTGGGGAACTGGCACACTTGTGGCCCAGAGTGATGGGGCTCTCTGGCTGGGCCCGCAGAGAGCACTGAGACCAGAGAGGGCCTGGGAGAATACGGAGTACCACTCCACCCACACTGCACCCACATGATGGAGGGGGAGACTGAGGCCAACGACAGGGGAGGAGTGTGCTCCGCACGTCCAGACCCATGTCTCTGGTTGTCCCCTCTTCTCTGGGAAATGCCCCCAGTCAGGCAGGGCCGGGGCTTCGGGCCGCAGGCACGGCTTTCCTTCAGGGGTGAACGTACCCGGACCAACGTGTCCATCACATGTTCCCTGGCCGCCTTCGTGAGCGTCAGTCGCTGGGCATTGAAGGCACAGATGCGAAAGGCCTCGACCCCGCCGGGCAGGAGAAGCAGCAGCACCGCTGGGTAATGCATGGCCAGGTGTGCGGCACTGGGGCCCCCAGGCTGCACTCCCAGCTACGCTCAGTTCTGCTTCTGGAAGGACATGGCAGTGTGGGACAGAGGAAGTGACGCCCATCAGCTCCTGGAGCTGCCAGCATTGCAGATCTCCTGCCTTTCCCCCTGCGGACACCTTCCAACACCGGCACACGCGGCTTGCCTTCCACTCGTAGTGTGGAGCCCAAGGTGGGGCCTGAACTCATGACCCTGACGTCAAGACCTGGACTGCAATCGAAGGTCAGATGCTTAACCGACTGAGCCACCCAGACGCCCCTCAAGTTCCTACTTTCGATCCTTTGGCGTATATACCCAGAAATGGGATTGCTGGATCATACAGCAGTGCTAGGTTTAATTCTCTGAGTTGCTGCCACACTATTTTCCATGGCGGCGAAACCCTTATTTTACACTCCCAGCGGCAGTACTCAAGAGTTCAACCTCACAGTTAATTCCAGCTTGTCACCGCCATTAGCAACAGGAGGATGGCCTTCACACAGACGTCCCTCTCCACTTGGGAGATGGTACCAGCAGAATTGCTGGGTTCGAAGGCGTATACATTTAAAATGATCTCAGCTACGCCAAATCACTTCCCGCAGTGTGGGAGGGGCCCCTTTCCCACACCCCTGCCACGCCGGAGAGCCCTTGTTCACCCTGCCTTCACCCTGCCGGCTGAAGCCCCTCTTCCACAGCGTCTCTTGGCTAATCCATTTCAGATGCACCGAAACTTTGTCCTGTCGCTTGGGCTCAGCCCCTTGCTCTGCTCCCTGTGACATTTACACGTAAGCCACATTAGGTCCCTCCACTTCTGTCTGCCTCCTTTTCTCTGTCACCTTTGTAACCAAACTCAAGGGGTTCACCAATTGGGGTGTGCCAAACTGAACAGAACCCAAGGAAGCGGTGAAAGCAAAGAACTGTTTGCTTCTTGTTACCAGGAAGGACACGGGGAGACAGCTCTCAAAGCACTGTCTCCCCGTGGGCTTAATTCAGGAAGCGTTTAGCCAGTGTATTAGGGGTGGGGGCAGGGAGCTGGCAGACAGACTTTTGGTTCCATTGTGCGTGCCTAGCATGTCAACATCTTGGGAAAATGGTGGAAAACTCCTCTGCCTATAGAAGATTTCAGATTATACAACTATATTTTATATTATAAAATTATTTTTAAAAATTTTTAATGTTTATTTTTGAGAGACAGAGCGTGAACGGGGGAGGGGCAGAGAGAGAGGGAGACACAGAATCCGAGGCAAGCTCCAGGCTCCGAGCTGTCTGCACAGAGCCTGATGCGGGGCTCGAACCCACAAACGGTGAGATCATGACCTGAGCCGAAGTCAGATGCCCAAACGACTGAGCCACCCGGGTGCCCCTAAAATTATTATAATGAACTAAAGGTAGTTACTTTAAGACAACTCGAGGGGGGGAGGTCTTCTGTGCTCAGCTGCCATCCAGCCCAACAGGCTCACGCAAGGAGCTCTGAGGTGAGACACAGCCAGCAAGGGGCTATGGGGTGAAACCCCTAGCTAGCTGGGCATCTCCTTGGCTGGAACTGCTGGTTCTGGAAAACAACCCGCATTCCTTCTCTGCTTTTGTCCCTTCCTCTCCTCCCTTCTGCTCACAGCTTTCCGGCCTCTTATTTGAGTAACTGCCCAGTGCATCCTAGCTGCTAACGCGCTGTGACCTTCCCCCTTGGGCTCACTTTCTGCCTCGACCAGGCTCTGCCTGTCTGTCTTTCTCGCCACCTCCCGTCTGTCCTCCCTCTTTGTCATGCAGTCTCTGTGCATCTCCTTCAAACCCCTGGCTAGGCTGAGTGCCTGTCTCTCCCTGGCCACCTGCTCTGTCACTCATGCCGGCCTGGGTGCCTGCCCTGGTTGCTATTCTGGGATGTGTGTGGACATTGGAGCCCGGGCTGTTCAGGGGAGGCCTGGAGGCTCTGGGGCCAAGGGCCCCCCCAAGGGCTGAGGGCAAGAACGACAGAGTGTTCCTGGCCTCGGCCCCAGCCCTGGGGTTCCCTTCCCCTCTCACCCCTCTCCCCAGTCCAGGGGCCACTTCCTCCCTCCCTCTGCTCAGCGAGCGCCTGTACCTCCTCAGACCAGCTTGGATCCACGCGTGCCTCGGCCGCAGGCAGATCAGCAGATCGCAACACCCTTAGGGAATCGCAGCGGCTCTCCGGGCAGGAACCCGAGAGGAGAAAGGAGAAAAGAGGAAGAGGCAGCCTTCCCGACCCACCCGTCCGGGCCGGCCCGTTGCCCCACCCTTCCTGGAGCCCGGGCTCTGCCGGGGCTGGGCCGGCCCCCCGACCCCGCCTTCGCTGGCCGGCGCGGAGGCCTGGAGCTGTGGCCAGATGACAGACCCGTGAGTCACAGAGGGTGATGGAGCCTCAGCATTCCCATGATGAGGGGTTTCCTGTGCCAAGGCTGCGTGGAGAGGAGGAGCTGGCTGGCGAGCGCAAACCCAGGGCTGTGCTCCCCGGCCCAGTGCTCAGCCCCAGACACAGGCTGCCTCCAGGCATCCTCTGCTGGAGAACACACGGGAGCCTGGTGGCAAGCCTGGGCGCCCCGAGCCCAAGAGCTTTTTCTCCACGTCCCCAGGCTGGGTGTCAGGGTCCTAAGCGGTCCGGAGACCCCAAGTGAACGACAGGCAGCGCAGGAACTGGGCACCATTGCAGTCAGGGTTGGACTGAGGAACTGCCCCCAAGAGAAGGGGAGACCGGAGCTGGCAGCTTGGTGTCCTGTGGGGTCCTGCACTGTCGCTGTTGGGACGGCCAGGGGACTCACTGGAGTCTGTGGACTGGCGGGGGGTCCTCGCTGATGATTGCAGTGTGGTCCCCGCGTTGGCAGGACCCATGCACATGGGCACATTACGATTGCAGTGCTGATGAGGACTGGATACACTGTTTTATTCATTAACTTATTTAAAAAATTTTTTAGTCTTTATTTTTGAGAGAGAGAGAGAGAGAGAGAGAGCACAAGCAGGAGAGGGAGACACAGAATCTGAAGCAGGCTCCAGGCTCTGAGCTGTAATCACAGAGCCTGATGCAGGGTTTGAACACACGAACTGCAAGATCATGACCTGAGCCGAAGTTGGACGCTCAACTGACTGAGCCACCCAGGCGCCCCTCATTAATTTATTTTTTAAAAATTAAAAAAAATTCTTTTGTTTTATTTATTTTTGAGACAGAGAGAGACAGGGCACGAGTGGGGGAGGGGCAGAGAGAGAGGGAGACACAGAATCTGAAGCAGCTCCAGGCTCTGAGCTGTCAGCAAAGAACTCAGTGCGGGGCTCGAACCCACAGACCGTGTGATCGTGACCTGAGCCAAAGTCGGAAGCTTAACCAACTGAACCACAAAGGTGCCCCTTTTTAAATTTTTAAATGTTTATTTTTGAGAGACAGAGCATGATCGTGGCAGGGACAGAGAGACAGGGAGACACAGAATCTGAAGCAGGCTCCAGGCTCTGAGCTATCAGCACAGAGCCCGACGCGGGGCTCGAACCCACAAACCATGAAATCATGACCCGAGCCAAAGTCAGAGACTTAACCGGCTGAGCCACTCAGGCACCTCTAATTAAGTTAAAAAAATTTTTTTAAATGTTTTTATTTATTTCTGAGAGAGAGAGAGAGAGAGCGAGCAGGGGATGGGCAGAGAGAGAGGGAGACAGAATCTGAAGCAGCTCCAGGCTCTGAGCTAGCTGTCAGCACCGAGCCTGATGCGGGGCTCGAACCCACAAACCGTGAGATCATGACCTGAGCCAAAGTCAGAGGCTCAACCGAGTGAGCCACCCAGGCGTCCCTCATTAACTTATTTTTTTTAAATATTTTTATTTATTTCTAGGAGAGAGAGAGAGAGAGAGACAGCATGAGCAGGGGAGGGTCAGAGAGACAGGGAGACACAGACTCTGAAATAGGCTCAAGGCTCTGAGCTGCCAGTCAGCACAGAGCCCGACGTCGGGCTCGAACCCACGAACCGTGATATCATGACCTAAGCGAAAGTCGGACGCTTAACTGACTAAGCCACCCAGGCGCCCCTAACTTATTTTTTAAAGTTTACTTATTTTGGGGGAGAGAGAGTGAGGGAGTGCTCATGAGGCGGGGTGGGCAGAGGGAGGAGGAGAGAATCCCAAGCAGGCTCCTCACTGTCAGAGCAGAGGTCCACGCAGGGCCCCACTCAAGGCTCCATCCCAGCAACCGTGAGATTATGACTTGAGCGGGTATCAAGAGTCCCACGCTTAAGCAACTGAGCCACACAGGTGCCCCAGAAACATTTTTTAAAAATCAACAAAACTGTGCTTCAAAATTAAAAAATAGAGGTGCCTGGTTGACTCCGTAAGTGCAGCATGTGACTCTTGATCTCAGAGTAGTGAGTTCACGACTCACGGTTGGCATAGAGCATACTTAAATAAAAAAGGGTTACGTGAGTGGCTCTTGCACTCACTCTCTGTCTCTCAAAAATAAATACACGTTAGGGGCGCCTGGGTGGCTCAGTCGGTTGAGTGTCCGACTTCAGCTCACGTCATGATTTCACGGTTTGTGGGTTCAAGCCCTGCGTCAGGCTCTGTGCTGACAGCTCAGGGCCTGGAGCCTGTTTCAGATTCTGTGTCTCCGTCTCTCTGACCCTCCCCTGTTCATGCTGTCTCTCTCTCTCTCTCTCTCAGAAATAAATAAAACGTTTTAAAAAAATAAATACATGTTAAAAAAGAAAAAAAAGAAAAAATTTTAAAAAGGAATAAAAATAAAACAAAAAGACTATTTAACTGATGCAGGGCTTTCTTCCAGGGTGATATACATGTTTTGTAACTAGTTAGAGGTAGTGACTGACAGCACTGGGGAGGTTCTGACATAAAATACTATTATTACATATATTATCCATAGCATTTCTTTTATTATATGTACTATGTTGCTACACATCCATTACGTGTAACATCTACACATACGGTACAAATATTGTCATTCTGCAATTACATAATGCAACATATATAACACCGTGTATATGTTGTATATGGAAAATATGGTATATAATAGAAATCACTAGAAAATACTATAACACGGTAACTCCGTTATGTAAATTTTGCCTCCATAAAAATAAAGAGGAAAAAAGCCAAAGCCGTCAGTTCGGACCTTTACGGGGTGTCGGCCTATTGTGCTGCGTAGCCCAGATTACCTCTCGAGACTTTTCTGGGGACGAATTAAGGGGACAAAAAGGGCGCGCGGCCGCCTGCGGCCCGGACTCCACCTCGCGCCGGAGCGGGGCGGGGCCGCGCGGCCCGCGGGCCCGCCCACGCTGCCGTCAAGCGGCCTGAGAGAGTTTTGCGACAGGCAGCCAGGAACGGGGCTCCGTAGCTGGCTCCGCTTCCGGCCGGGGCGCGGGGCGCCTCGGTGCGGCCGCCGGTCCCTCTCGCTTCTCGCCGGGACCCCTGGCCCCTGACCCCGGTGGCAGCTGGTCTGTGGCGGGAGGTCGGGGCCGGGCCGGCTCCGGCCTGCCCTGCGAGGTGACCTTGGTCGAGTCCCCGGTCGCGCGGAGCCGCGGCGCCCGTGTGCGGCGCGGGCCTGTCAGGGACCCAGGTCTCCTGCGGCCGAGGACGCAGACCTAGAACGGCCCCACGGGCTGCCCCGTGGCACGGGAAGCGCCAGGCCGCGTGGGGCGGAGCTGGGGAGCTCGGTCTGGGCGGGGGAGATGCCCCTACATGTGAAATGGCCGTTCCCCGCGGTGCCGCCGTTCACCTGGACCCTGGCCAGCAGCGTCGTCATGGGCCTGGTGGGCACGTACAGCTGCTTCTGGACCAGTGAGTGGGCCTGGAGACGAGGCAGGGTCGGCCACGGCTGTCCACGCCCCGCCAGAGTTGGGGTTCGGGGTTGTGGGTGCGGGCAGGCGCTAGTTTGGCTGGGGGGGAGCCCTGGGCCCCCGAGGATGGCGAGGGCCAGGGCTCCTCCCCGCAGTCTGTCTCTCCCCGCAGAGTACATGAACCACCTCACCGTCCACAACAAGGAGGTGCTGTACGAGCTCATCGAGAACCGGGGCCCAGCCACGCCCCTCATCACTGTTTCCAACCACCAGTCCTGCATGGATGACCCTCATCTCTGGGGTACCTGGCACCAGTGTTCTGGGCACAGGGGGGCATGGGGAGAACCCGGGAAGGGGCCAAACAAAAGCAGCACAAACTCCCTTCTCCCGGGACTTTACATAGCCCTGGCAGTCCCGTTTCTGGAGTGTCCTGCCCCAGGATTCAAAATACGACTTGTGGCCCCTTGGGAATCCTCTCAGACCGTGGTGTGGAGAGGGCCTCAGAATTGGGAGGGAATGGGGAAGTAGGGAAGTGACTTCAGGGCGAGGTGTGGTGGCCGCTTTACTTTGACGCACCGGGCCTGTGCAACCCTCTGCCCTCTCTAAACCATCGAGGGTCCCACAGAGTGAGTATTGGAATGCACCCGAGAACGGAGGGTGTCCTGGCAGGGAGAGCCTGGGCTCCAGTTCGGGGACACCTGTGTCCTGGTTCCAGGTTTGCTCCAGGCTGAGTTTGTGCCCTTCGGCCACCCTCACTTGGGAGCCCGCCTCACCACCTAGAAGGTGACCACCTGCTCTGCGGACTTCATAGTCTCCAGTAACCAAACGGCTGGCTCAGGGGGGTGCCCGGGGCTTGCACAGATCACTGCAGGTTAGACTGTTACGGGAGCCGGTTGCACAGATTGCAGCCCTTCAGAGCTCTCCCTTGGCCATCAGGCAGAGCAGGGCCCGTAGAGGCGGGTCCCTGGGGCCAAGAAGGAGGCTTCAGAGCCAGCCAGTAACCTGCACTCGGGTGGTGGCGGGAGCAGCGGAGGGAGAGGTGGCCAAGAGCGCGCAGTGCTGAACTCTGTCAGTGCGGTGGCCAGGCCGGGTGTGCAGACTAGGGAGCTGCGGGGTGGGGCGGGGCAGAAGGAGGAGCCGGGGGCAACTTGGGGGCCCAGCCCAAGGGTCTGTAACCTGCCGCTGGGGACCACAGCTGAATGGTGGCGCTGCTGCCCTGGTGCCTCGTCTCCTGCAACTGGGAGACCAAAGCAGATGTTCCCTGCGGACGAGGCCGGCTGGGTCATGAAGCCTTTCCTTCTCTAGGGATCCTGAAACTCCGCCACATCTGGAACCTGAAGTTGATGCGTTGGTGAGGAGGAACGGGCCCCTCGCAGTGGGCCTGGCAGGCCTCACCCGTCTCTGCCCAGATTTGCCCTCCTCCTGCTCTGCCCAGGAGGCGGCGTCCAGCAGTACAGGCAGGGCATGGGGGGGCGGGGGTCCTCAGGCCCTCCTGTGCCACGTTTCCACCCTGCACTGGTGGCAGGCATCATGCTGGGGGGCCGGCGGGGCATTAGGGTGCGGGGGGGGGCCAGGGGTGACTGCATCTGCCCCTCCTTCAGGACTCCCGCGGCTGCAGACATCTGCTTCACCAAAGAGCTCCACTCGCGCTTCTTCAGCTTGGGCAAGTGTGTGCCCGTGTGCCGAGGTGAGCTGGGCCTCCGGGGAGGAGCCCGTGGGCCGGTGGATGCGGGGGAGGCGCTTCTGGGGCCCTTTCTGGCTTTGGAACAGGGGCTGTGGCTGCTGCTTCTGGCTTAGCAGCACCGGGCGTGCAGGGACCCGGGTGGGACCTCCAGCCTGGGAACAAAGGGAGCCAGGAGGCGCTGCCCCACGGGTGCCAAGCCCGGCTGCATGGCGTGGTCACTGTGGGTGTGACCGTGGCTGCCGGAGGAGTGATGGCTTCTTGGAGAGCGCTCGTTCCCTGGGACTGACTGAGGGTCGTGTGAAGCCAGGACTGGTATTAGAAGTCCACGAGGCATTGTCCCCAGCCTCTTCCCTCAAGGGTGTTGCCAAGGGACCCCGTGATGGCACTGCGGTGTCCTCGGTCTGTGAGGGACGCTGCAGGGTTTGGGATAACAACCAGGCTTGCAAGGTGACGGTGTGACAAATGTGAAGGTTCCAGAACAATCTTGTTAAGAATGTTGGACTCTGTTCTCGCATCAGGGTAGCGATGTGCTCTCATCTGTTCTTCTGAGAGGGCGCCCCGGCTGCAGCATGGCTGGTGGCTGGGAGCAGAGCCCAGTAGAGGCAGGGAGCCCGGCGAGGGGCTGTCTCAGTGATCCTGGCGGCAGAGGATGGTCACCGGGCCTCCGGGGGCCACTACCGACAGCTGGACGGGGGCGGTACTTGGGAGGCAAAGTCGACGGCACTGCTTGATAGATTGGCTGTGGTGGTGGGGGGGGGGGGGGGGGGAGACAGCTCAAAGATGACACTAGGTGACATCTGCTGACACTGAGCCACCAGGAGGAGGGTGAGGGAGACACAGGTCCCAAATGTGCGGTGACGAGAGAATTGCGAAGCAGGCGCTATGACTCTCAGGAGCTGAAGCCCCGATCTCCCAGCTGCAGCCTCTTTAATTTATCTCATGGCTCATGTGATAGCAGCCAGCACCTACCGCGCAGCGTCTGGCATTGGCATCCAGATGGGTCACGCCCCTGCGGCGTGTTCCATCCTTGGCCACGAGCACATCTGGTGCCGGACCAAACCTTCTTACCCCTGGCCTGGTGTCTGTAGGGTGTCCTTCTGGAGAGAATGAGCGGTCCTGGCAGCTTTCCGGCCTGGGAGTAGAATTGCTTTCAGTTCCCTGCTGCTTCGTCCCTTTCCTTCGGGACGTTCTCATGGTGCCTCTGGCTTCTTGTTCTCCAACAGGAGGGAATGAAGGGACTGTCGGGTGGGGGGGGGGCGGTAGGGCAGTTCCGCTGTGCGTGTGTGTGTGTTTCGTGTGAGGAGCTCGTCGCCCGAGGAGGGAGCGGTCCCAGAGGCAGGGGGTATGTAGTTCTGGAACTCAAAAGAAGAGCATTTGGGACTATGCTGGGGACTCAACCACTAACAAAGTGGCAAAAGTAGAGGAGAGATTGCAGAGACGGAGAGCAGCAGAGAGCAGGGTGGCATCTCGGAGCACAGAGGGAGAGGCATGCCACCAAGGCAGCGAAGTTTCTTGTTTCGAGCGGTCAAGGTGAAACGTGGTTAAATGCAGTAAAGTAACCTCTGAGATCCAGGGGCTCTGCTCGGGTCCCCCCGTCCCTGAATCTCAGCTCCTCTCTGCTGCAACCTCACACAGAGGTCTTCCACTTCCACCTTTTGAAAAAATATTATTTATTTGTTATTTTTAATGTTTGTTATTTTTGAGAGAGTGCGCGCACAAGCTGGGGAGGGGCAGAGAAAGGGGGACAGAGGGTCTGAAGTGGGCTCCAGGCTGTCAGCGCAGAGCCCAACGCAGTTCTCACAGACCCTGAGACTGTGAGCCGAGCCAAAGCTGGACACTGAGTCGACTCAGCCACCGAGGCGCCCCTATTTGTTGTTTTTGAAGTTTATCCTTCTTTGAGGAATCTCTATACCCAGCAGGAAGCTCAAACTCACGACCCCAGGATCAAGAGTCACGTGCTTTTCTGACTGAGCGGGCCGGGCGCCTTCCACGTGCACTTCTTGTCTTGTTCTTCTTCTGGTACACGCCTAAAGTTTTATTGCACTGTTACACTTGATTGTAGCCAAAAGGCCAAGAAGCAATTTTATTGCACTCTTAAAAACCAAAACCCAAATCTCAGTGCTATGCACTTTCAGTGAGAGACAGTGGGCACGGACAGGCTATTTGTCAGGCATATTTGATGGGCAGCCAAGAGCTAACGTGGTAAAGCAAAGGAAGGATCTGGCATACTTGGCTTCTCTGTTCTAAAATATTCCATCCCCGCCCCCCAGCATGGCCTTACGATATGATATGACATGAAGTGTCGAAGTGTTCTCGTACGAGCTTTTCTTTCCTCTTTTTTTTATTGAACTATAGTTGGCACGTGTTACATTAGTTTCCTGTGTACAGCATAGTGATCGGAACTCTGCATGTTACGCTGTACTCACGACAAGTGTAAATTTTGATCATCTGTGACCATACAACACTATCATGACACCTTTGACCATATTCCCTAAGCTGGACCTTCCATCCACGTGGCTTATATTCATCCCATGACGGGGAGCCTGTGTGTCCTGCTCTCCTTCATCAATTTTGCCCAGCCCTCCACCTCTGTCCCTCTGGCAACCTCAATTTGTTCTCTGTATTTATGGGTCTGTTCCTGCTTTTTATTTATTTATTCATTTGTTTTGATTTTGACATTGCACGTAAGTGAAGTCATATGGTACTCATTTTTTTCTGAATTATTTCACTTAGCATAATACCGTCGAGGACCATCCATGTTATGGCAGATGGCAAGATCTCATTCTTTTTTTTTTTTTTTTAAATTTTTAAATGTTTTTTATTTATTCTGAGAGAGAGAGACAGCGTGAGCAGGGGAGGGTCAGAGAGAGAGGGAGACCCAGAATCTGAAACAGGCTCCAGGTTCGGAGCTCCAGGCTCTGTCAGCAAAGAGCCCAATGCGGGGCTCGAACCCACGAACCGTGAGATCATGACCTGAGCCAAAGTCAGACGCTTAACCGACTGAGCCACCCAGGTGCCCTGATACTAGCCCTCTGACAGCTGTGAGGTCCTATCTCATTGTGGTTTTGATTTGTAATTCCCTGGATTCATCTGGATGCCTGCTTTGGAGAAATGTCTAGCTTTTGAAATTGGGTTATTTGAGGGGCGCCTGGGTGGCTTAGTCGGTTAAGCGTCCGACTTTCGCTTGGGTCATGATCTCGCGGTTCGTGGGTTCGGGCCCCGCGTCGGGCTCTGTGCTGACTGCCAGCTCAGAGCCTGGAGCCTATTTCAGAGTCTGTATCTCCCTGTCTCTCTGACCCTCCCCTGCTCACGTGCTCGCGCTCTCTCGCTCGCTCGCTCTCTCTCTCTCTCCTAGAAATAAATAAAAAAAATATTAAAAAAATAAATTGGGTTATTTGAGTTTTTTGGTGTTGAGTTGTATAGATTCTTTACATAGTTTGGATGTTTGGATATTAACCCTTTTTTGGAAATCCATTTGCAAATATCTTCTCCCATTCAGTAGGTTGCTGTTTCGTTGATGGTTTCCTTTGCTGTGCTGTGAGAAAGCTTTTTATTTTGAGGGGCGCCTGGGTGGCTCAGTTGGTTAAGCATCTGACTTCAGATTCTGTGTCTCCCTCTCTCTCTGCCCCTCCGCGGCTCGCTCTCTGTCTCTGTCTCTCAAAATAAAGACATAGTAAAATTAATTTTTTAAAAATTTTGCTGTAGTTGCAATAGTTATTTTTGCTTTTATTTCCCTTCTCTGAGGAGCTATATCTAGAAAAATGTTGCTAAGGCCAGTGTCAAGGAAATTGCTGCCTATGTTTTCTTCTAGGAGTTTTATAGTTTCGGGTCTCACATTCAGATCTTTAATCCACTTTGAGTTTATTTTTGTGTATAGTGATAGAAAGTGGTCTGGTTTCATTCTTTTGTATGTAGCTTTCCAGTTTTCCCAGCACCATTTGTTGAAGAGACTGTCTTTTCCCCATTGTATATTCTTGCCTTTTTGTTGTAGATTAATTGATCATAAAGCATGGGTTTATTTCTGGGTCCTCTATTCTGTTCTCTTGATCTGTGTGTCTGGTTTTGTGCCATACTGCTCTGGTTACTGTAGGTTTGCAGTAACTTTTTTTTTTTTAATTCTTTTTGTTTATTTATTTTTGAGACACAGAGACACAGAGCACAAGCAGGGGAGGGGCAGAGAGAGAGGGAGACATAGAATCTGAAACAGGCTCCAGGCTCTGAGCTGTCAGCACAGAACCCCACGTGGGGCTCGAACTCATGGGCCACGAGATGATTGCCTGAGCCGAATCGGATGCTTAACTGACTGAGCCACCCAGGCGCCCCTGCAGTTACTCTTGAAATCTCGTATTGTGCTGCTTCAAGACTGCGTTGGCTGTTTGGTGTCTTTTGTGGTTTCATACATATTTTAGGATTATTTGTTCTAGTTTTGTGGAAAATGCTATTGGTATTTTGATATAGATTGCATTGAATCTATAGACTCTTTTGGGTCATATGGACGTTTTAACAATATTAACTCTTCCAGTCCACGAGCACGGAATACCTTCCAATTTGTTCGTATTGTCGTCAATTTCTTTCATCAGTGTTTTCTAGTTTTCAGAAACTAGAAGTCTTTTTTTTATTTTTTTTTATTTTTTTAGAAACTAGAAGTCTTTTACCTCCTTGCTTAAGTTTATTCCTAGGTATTTTGTTCTTTTTGGTGCAACTGTAAATAGAATTGCTTTCCTGGGGCGCCTGGGTGGCTCAGTCGGTTAAGCGTCCGACTTTGGCTCAGGTCATGATCTCTCAGTTCGTGGGTTCGAGCCCCGCGTCGGGCTCTGTGCTGACAGCTAGCTCAGAGCCCGGAGCCTGTCTCAGATTCTGTGTCTCCCTCTCTCTCTGCCCCTTCCCAGCTCATGCTCTGTCTCTCTCTCTCTCAAAAATAAATAAACGTTTAAAAAAATTTTTTTAAAAAAGAATTGCTTTCTTAATTTCTCTTTCTGCTACTTTGTTATCAACGTATAGAAATGCAACTGAATCTATATGTTAATTTTGTATCCTGCAGCTTTACTGAGTTCATTTATTCATTCTAACAGTTTTTGGTGGAGTCTTTACAGTTTTCTATGTATAGTATCATGTCACCTGCAAATAGAGACAGCTTGATTTCTTCGTGTTGTCTGACTGCCGTGGCCGGGACTCCCAGTGCTGTGTGGAATAAAAGCGGTGAGAGTGACATCCTTGTCGTGTTCCCGGCCTTCTGGGAAAAGGTCTCAGTTTTTCCCCGTTGAGGATGATGTTGGCTGTGGAATTTTCCATATAAGGCATTTTTTATGTTGAGGTGTGTTCCCTCTAAACTGACTTTGTTGAGAGTTTTTGTCATGAACAGATGTTGGATTTTGTCCGATGCTTTTTCTCTATATATCGAGATGATCGTATGATTGTTATCTGTCATTTTGTTAATGTGGTGTATTACATTGATGTGGGGATATCAAACCATCTTTGCATCCCTAGAATCAATATCACCCAATTGTGGTGAATGATCCTTTGAATGTGTCGTTGAATTGGATTTGCTAATATTTTGTTGAGGATTTTTGCACTTGGGATCATCAGGGATATTGGCATGTAGTTTTCTTTTTCTTGTAATGTCTGTCTGGTTTTTGTATCAGCGTCATGCTGGCCTCGTAGAATGTATTTGGAAGCTTTCCTTCCTTTTCCATTTTTGGAATAGTTTGAGAAGAATAGGTATTAACTCTTCTTTAAACATTTGACAGAATTCACCTGTGAATCCATCTGGTCCTGGACTTTTGTTTGTTGGGAGTTTTTTGATTACAGATTCAAATAATCAGTTACTATTAGTCCGCCTGTTCAGCTTTTCTGTTTGTTTCTGATTCTGTTTTGGAAGACTGTATGTTTCTGAATGTATCCATTTCTTCTAGGTTGTCCAATTTGATGGCATATAATTTTTCATAGTAGTCTCTCATAATCCTTTGTTAAATATATTTTTAAAATATTTTTAATTTTTTAAATTAACTTATTTATTTTGAGAGAGAGGGAGTGCACACAAGTAGGGGAGGGGAAGAGAGAGAAAGACAGAGAATCTGAAGCAGGCTCTGCACCAGCAGCATGGAGCCTGACATGAGGCTCGATCCCACAACCCTGGGACCATGACTTGAGCCAAAATCAACAGTTGGATGCTTAACCGACTGAGCCATCCAGGATCCCCTCTTAGAGTACTTTGTATATCTATGGTATCCATTGTTATTTCTCCTCTTTCATTTCTGATTTTATTTATTTGGGTTCTCTCTTTTTTTTAAATGTTTATTTATTTTGAGAGACAGAGAGAGACAGAGTGGGAACAGGAGAGGGACAGAGAGAGAGGGACACACAGAATCCAAAGCAGGCTCCGGGCTCTGAGCTGCCAGCACACAGCCTGATGCAGGGCGTGAACTCATGAACCGTGAGATCATGCCCTGTGCTGAAGTTGGACACTTAACCCACTGAGCCAGCCAGGCGCCCCTCCACTCTGGTCTTTTTTATTCTCTTCTTTCTACTAACTTTGGGCTTTGTTCTTTTTCTAGTTCTTTTAGGTATACGGTTCGATGCTGTATTTGAGATTTTTCATGTTTCTCGAGGTCGGTCTGTATTACTATACATTTCCTTCATAGAACTGCTTTTTGCTGTGTCCCAGAGATTTGGGGGAATTGTAGTTTAGTATAAATTTTGATTTCAAGCCAGGTGCAGTTGCACCAGTGGCTCAGAAGGAGACGACACCTCTGAAGCCCACGTCCTAGCAGTTTTTGCTGCCCCGGGTGGTGGGAGAGACCAGTGCGCTCTCGGTTTGCTGAGAAGCTGTGGTTGGTGACTGCTCCTCACCTCCAGCCCGCGAAGGAGCTGCCTGGCCGGGTCCCCATCGGGCTGGGTTGAGACTCCCGGATGCCTCACCAGCACCTTCTAATGACCCGGCTTTGCAGAGAACAGGTTAAAAGTCCATTTGTTGGTGCGCTGGCCTGAGACAGCCCCCGCACGTTTCCTCCCTACCTGATAAGTGTGTCTGTCACTGTCCACCATACGGACAGGGTTGAGGAGGGTCTTACTGCGTGTGGTCACGGCCGTCTCCACGGGACTCCCAGTTGTGTGTCTGTTGTTGCTAACTGCCGGGCCACCTGGGTCCAGTGTCACGGTCCCCAGGTGTCTCCAAGGTGAGTGTTGTTAGCCTTAGGGCAGCTCCACTCCCCTTCTCGCAGCCCGGCAAGCGTGGGTTTTTCCAAGAGGCCTCGATAAGTGAGAGTCTAGCTTCAGAGGGAGCGGAGCCCTGTGAGGGGTGAAGGGGTCGGCAGAAGGGAGGGACGGCGGTCGCTGAGGGCGCAGGCAGGGCAGGGCGGCCCGTGAGGAACGGCTGTGGGCACAAGCCTAGCCAAGACCCCAGGAGAGGGTAGCTGTCCAGGATCCTGGGCCCAAGCCAGGCTGGAGATCGTGAATCGAGTTGGTTTGCTCGAGCTGTGCCCTCTGGGCCGAAGCAGCAAGTGGGAGGCTCGCCCCCAGGCTGGTGCATCCCAAGGAGAAAGGAGGCTACAGGAGCTGGAGAGGGAGGGAGGGCAAGGAGAGTGCCGAGCTGAAGCCGGGGCCGCGAGGACGCATTTTGTGGGCGTCTGTGGCACAGCGCCGAGGCTGTGGGGGGCCAGCAGGTGGAAGGTGCAGGCGCAGACTGGTGAAGGACTTGCCAGTTAAGAATTTCAGTTGGGGGGCGCCTGGGGAGCTCAGTCGGTTAAGCGTCCGACTTTCGCTTGGGTCATGATCTCGCGGTTCGTGGGTTCGAGCCCCGCGGCGGGCTCTGTGCTGACTGCCGGCTCGGAGCCTGTTTCAGAGTCTGTGTCTCCCTCTCTCTCTGACCCTCCCTTGCTCACGCTGTCTCTCTCTCTCTCAGAAATAAATAAATTAATTAAAGAAATAAATAGTTTCATGTTGGAAGCTGTTTGAGGCAATGATACTGCCTTCCACATGACAGGTACTTAGAGATTTAGAGAACATTCTGGACATAGGATGTCAAGGGCACAGTGCAACCAGGTCCGAGTCCCCAGACACAGTTGTCGGAGGGCGTCCACGTGGATGGTGTGGTGGAGGATGAGGAAGTCCTTGAGCTGCTGCTTCGTTCCCAGGGGAAGGAGGGACCCTGAGAGAACGGGGGCTGATGGCACACGCCTTCTCTTGGCAGGAGATGGCGTCTACCAGAAGGGGATGGACTTCATTTTGGAGAAGCTCAACCATGGGGACTGGGTGCACATCTTCCCGGAAGGTCAGTGCGGTTGGCAGGGCTGTGCACCGCCCCAGCTCCCAGGCCTCATGTCTGTCCTCTCTCTCCACAGGGAAAGTGAACATGAGCTCCGAGTTCCTACGCTTTAAGTGGGGTAGGCACTGCCGGCCCCGTGCGGCTGGGCGGGACCGTGGCGCCTGGGACACATGGGTGTGTTGGTTGTAGCGGGACGGGGCTGGGTGCTGGGACGAGGGCTTGCGCGGCAGAGGAGCTGGAGCAGGGCAGCTGGTTTTAACCGGAAGAGGGCGGCGGTGGCCTGGCCGTAGGCTGGCACCAAAGCTCTGCTCGCGCCGATGTGCCCGCCTGTCCCCCCGGGCAGGAATCGGACGCTTGATTGCCGAGTGTCATCTCAACCCTGTCATCCTGCCGCTGTGGCATGTTGGTGAGCATCCCTCTTGGGCCAAGGCTGTGGCTTGGGCGTGTGGGGGCGGGAGAGGCGGGGCTTCCCTGGGTTTTGAGGGTTTCCACTGGCTGGCAGGGGTGGGGCTAGGGCTCTATCTGTCCCCGGGCCACCGTGCCCCGCCCTGTGCCCACTTCCTGGTCTCTGTCTGCTGTGTTGCAGGAATGAATGATGTGCTTCCTAACAGCCCGCCCTACTTACCCCGCTTCGGACAGGTGCGTAGGGGCTGTTGACCTTCACGTGTGTGGCTACCGTGTGCGTCGTGTCTCCCCTCGGCACTGCTGAGGCCGCATTCAGGAGGAGCTGAGCTTGAAGCTGCAGCAGGGGACCGAGGGGGAAAGAGGGAGAGGGACTTCCTGGCACCAAGGCTGCTAGAAGGAGAGCAAAAGAAATCAGGCCGGGCGGGACGGGCCTGTGGTTTGGACAGGATGGGATGTCTAGAGCACAGACCGCAGGGTCCGAATGCCAGAGCCGGGCCACTTCGTCTCAGAGAGGGAGAGGGGCCGTGAGGGAGCACACGGCAAGGTAGCGGCAGGACTTGGCTCCTGGCTCTCTGGGGTGGTCGGGCTGTGGCTCTGGGCAGTCTCCCTGTTTCTGTCACCCACCGCTGGCCGCTGTGCCTACAGAAAATCACCGTGCTGATCGGGAAGCCCTTCAGCGCCCTGCCTGTACTCGAACGGCTCCGGGCAGAGAACAAGTCAGCCGTGAGTTGTCATTCTGCCCCGCGCCCCCTTCCCCGTGCCTTCCTGTAACTCTCCCAGCCTCTCCCGGGGCTCCGGGGCACAGCTCCCCCAGGGCCGCAGGCCAGCCCGAGTCCTTCCCCTCAGGTGGAGATGCGCAAAGCTCTGACTGACTTCATTCAGGAAGAGTTCCAGCGCCTGAAGGCCCAGGCGGAGCAGCTGCACAGCCACCTGCAGCCCGGGAGATAGAGCGCGCCCTGCTCCCTCCTGCTAGAGGGGGGCTGGCCCCCTGGGCCGGGAGATAGAGCGCGCTCTGCTCCCTCCTGCTAGGGGGGCCAGCTGGCCCCCACCCAGGCCCTGGCCGCTGGCTGCCAGTGCCGGCTCCAGACTCTTGCCCTGCACACAGCTGAACTGGGGGATGCACTGGGGTCTTGAGGTCAGATACATTCTTTTAGACACATGTGTGCATAACCCTAAACAGGGGTCCTGTCCTACTTGGTGAGCATTCCCTCTGCTCTGAGCTGCTTCGGCTGAAGGCAGGGTTTTGCCTGCTCCTCCCACTTGGCCGCGGAAGGAGGCAGGAATCTCGGCAGGGGCGCCCTTCCTCCCCCGGGGCCGGCGTCAGCACGGAGGGGGTGCCCGGAGGGGGGCAGGCGGCCAGGCCAGAGCTCCGCACAGGGCTCGTGAGGCCCTTGGCTTGGCATCCACCAGATTGGCCCGGCCCGGGAGCTGCCCACCACGTCCTCAGGGATGCCCATCGGCCACCTCCTCGTTCCTTCCGCACTTCCCACAGGCAGGGGATCCTCAGGCAGGGCCCAACTCCGCGCCGCAAGCAGAAGGGCAGTCTTTTGCCAGGAGTGAAATCCCGCTGAATGGACCCTACAGCCAGGGCCAAGTCCCTACCACCTGCCCACGCGCCAGGGCCCGCCAACTGCTCTGTCTCTGCCACCTCCCTGGCATCACCAGAGACCCCCGGGGCTGGGTGTTCACGTTTTGTAACCAGTAAAGCGCCTGTGCTGTGTTTTACCTTTGGCCTCTTCATAAGGGTAGGGACGGGGTCGGCCTGCTGGACGTGAAGGCTGGACCCTTAGAGCGGCCAGGGTGCTGGATGGGCGTCAAGCTCTCTGTGTGCACCAGTCATGTAAAACTTCAGTCGTTGCCTGTAATCCCTGTAATGGCCTTGCAAAAGTAGGGTTTGGTCTCATTTTGCAAAGGAGGCAGACCGAACCTAATGGACTTGCTTCAGAAGCCAAATGGAGAAGGGCGGGAAGTACAGCTAGCAGTACGGTCCCCCTGGGCTTGGTACCAGGAGGCGGGAGGTCGCCAAGGGGCCCAGCGAGCCTCCACAAGCCACAGGTGCTGTGATGGGAGGTGCGAAGGGGGACACCTTGATCAAGCTGGAGACCTTTGGGAGGAGCAGAGACGGGTGGAGGAGCTCCTGGTACAGGCAGAAGCGAAGCCTCTGGAGGAGAGGGAGCTCAGTTTAGGTCTCCAGGTATCAATAAATTAAACTCAACCAAAAAGACTTCACAAAGATCACCAAACATGAGGAAATGAGGCCTTGTACTTACGTCAGCAGAAACGGACAGGTTGCAACCTGTGGGAACTTCTGAGATTGACAGGGTCAGACAGATTATGGAAAATAATAGAAGCGTGGAAGGAAACAGAAGACAGACCCGAGGGAGCCAGCAGCGCGAGGAGGCTCAAACACCATCTGGACTGCAGTTGTGTGTGAATCTGTAACTGTTTCAAAATGAGAGATTTGGGGGCACTGGGGCGGCTCAGTCAGTTAAGCGTCTCTTAATTTCAGTTCAGATCATGATCCCACTGTGGGATCGAGCCCTGCTTCTGGCTCTGTGCTGAAAGCACGGAGCCTGCTTGGGATTCTTTCTCTGCCCTGCCCCTGCTTGCACACACTCTAAATAAACATTTTTAAATGTTTATTTATTCTTTGAGAGAGAAGGAGACACAGAGTCTGAAGCAGGCTCTAGGCCCTGAGCTGTCAGTGCAGAGCCCAATGTGGGGCTCGAACTCACTAGCTGTGAGATCATGACCTGAGCTGAAGTCAGATGCTTAACTGACTGAGCCACCCAGGTGCCCCAAGATAAATGTTAAAAAAAGGAAAAAAAATTTTTAACATTTATTTATTTTTGAGAGGCAGATAGAGCATGAACAGGGGAGGTGCAGAGAGAGAGGGAGACACACAATCTGAAATAGCACAGAATCTGTCAGCACAGAGCCCAATGCAGGGCTCGAACTCCTGAACTGCGAGATCATGACCTGAGCCGAAGTCAGCTGCCCAACCAAGCCACCCAGATGCCCCAAACTTTTTTTTTTTAAAGGAGTGCCAAAAGGTTTTTTAAAATAACCAGAAAGGAAAAAAAAAATCACTTGTGGGGAGGGACACCTACTGCTGGCCAATTTCCATTTGCAGGTCCAAATGTAATATTTTTTCATATATATCTGTTTGAACAAACAAGTACAGATATTTAGTGTATAGATGTGTCTGCAATCATGTTTTTTCATACAGACTATTTTTTAGAGTAGTTTTAGGTTCACAGCAAAATTTGGCTTGTCCTGTGATTGTGAAATCTACAAATACCATTCACCATATTAACTGTATAAAGGAAAAAAATCCATATGGTTATTTCAATAGATACAAAAGAAGTACTTGATAGAATATTCATAATTAAAAAAAATTAGCAAACTATAGAGGGGAATTTTCCTTTTTTTTAAAAAAAGTTTACTTTTCAGTTTTTTGATTTATTTTTTAATTTTTTTTATGTTTTATTTCTAGGAGAGAGAGAGAGAGGGAGTGAGCAGGGGAGGGTCAGAGAGAGAGGGAGTCACAGACTGAAACAGGCTCCAGGCTCTGAGCCGGCAGTCAGCACAGAGCCCAACGCAGGGCCCGAACCCACGAACCGCGAGATCATGACCTAAGCGAAAGTCGGACGCTTAACCGACTAAGCCACTCAGGTGCCCCTACTTTTCAGTTTTTTAAAAATGTTTTATTTATTTCTGAGAGAGAGAGAGCACGAGCAGGGGAGGGTCAGAGAGAGAGGGAGACACAGAATCCGAAGCTCTGTCAGCACAGAGCCCGACGCGGGGCTCGAACCCATGAACCATGAGATCATGTCCTGAGCTGAAGTTGGACGCTTAACCGACTGAGCCCCCCAGGTGCCCCAAAAGTTTACTTTTCAGAGAGCTTGTGTGCACAAGCAAGTGGGGAAGGGGCAGAGACAGAGGGACAGAGAGAAGCCCAAGCAGGCTCTGCACTGTGAGTGCAGAGCCCGATGTGGGGCTCGAACGCACAAAACAGAAAGTCGTGACCTGAGCCAAAATCAAGAGTTGGACACTTAACTGACTGAGCTACCAGGTGCCCCTATAATCTTGTTTTCAAGTTTGTTTATTTTTGAGAGAGAGCACATGAAAGAGAGCAAGTTGAGGAGGGGAGGGGGAGAGAGAGAGAGAGAGAGAGAGAGACTCCCAAACAGGTTCTGCATTTTCAGCACCGAGTCCAGTGTGGGGCTCGAACTCACAAACAGATCAGGACCCGAGCTGAAATCAAGAGTCGGATGCTTAACCAACTGAGCCATCCAGGAGCCCCTAAATAATCAAGATTTTAGAAATAATCTAGTCAATATGACAAGTTGAATCTAAAGTTTATATGGAAGCACAATGGCCCAAGAAGAGCCTCTTGAAAGAGAAGAACAAGCAGGTGTCAAGAGTTTAGTACTTGAGACACTGCAGGGTGCTGGACAGACACACCACTGGCACGACAGCTATATGGACACTTATCACACCACAAGACTGGGCTTTCAAGACAGCGGGTAAAACAATGTTTGTCTCAATAAACAGTACTGGGACAATTGGACATCTTTATGGAAAAAAAGAAACTTGACCTCACCTTCACACTATCCATAAAAGTGTGAAAAAACAAGACAACTTCTAGAAGGTCATGTAGAAGAATATTTCCATAATCTTGGAGGCAGGGAAAGATTTCTCAAACAGGAAATTAAAAACATTAATCATAAAGGAAAAAAATGGTAAATTAGACTTTTTAAAATTAAGTTCGGTTCATCAGAAAACATTAAGAGAGGGGCGCTGGGTGGCTTAGCCGGTTAAGCGTCCGACTTCCGCTTGGGTCATGATCTCGCGGTTCGTGGGTTCGAGCCCCGTGTCGGGCTCTGTGCTGACTGCCAGCTCAGAGCCCGGAGCCTGTTTCAGTCTGTGACTCCCTCTCTCTCTCTGACCCTCCCCTGCTCACGCTGTCTCTCTTTCTCTCTCCTAGAAATAATAAATAAAAAAAAATAAAAAAAAAAAACATTAAGAGAGAATAAGGGTGGGGGACGCACCTGGATGGCTCAGTTGGTGGAACATGTGACTCTTGATTTCACTGTCGTGAGTTTGAGCCCCATATTGGGCCTGGAGCCTGCTTAAAAATTTTTTTTCAAAAAAGAGAGTGAAAAGGGAAGCCACAGAATGGAAACGATTTTTGTAATAAATTTAACCAACACAGGGTCCCAATGCAGAATCTATAAAGATCTCATAAATCCTCGTAAATCAATAAGAGAAAGATCAACAATGCAATAGAAATAGGGAGGATGGACACGAGCAGGCATCTCACAGAGGAGGAAACAAAACCGCCAGGACTGAGAATATTAAGTCCTGTGTGAGCTTCCTGTAGCCATAGTAACAAAGTACCACAAGCCAAGGGGGCTTCAAACAACAGAGATTCATTCTCTCCCAGTGCCGGAGGCCAGAAGCCCGAGCTCAAGGTGTGGGCAGGGTTGTTTCCTTCTGAGGGCGAATCTGTTCCCTTCCTGTCTCCTAGCCTCTGGTGGTGGCCAGTAGTCCTTGGTGTCCCTTGGCTTCTAGACAAGTCATCCTGATCTCTGCTTTCACCTGCATGTGAGTCTGTGTGTCTCTTTTTCTCTTCTTAAAAAGGTCCCAGTCGTTGGCTTAGGGCTCGCTCTAACTAATCCAGCATGACCTCATCTTAAGTAATTACATTTACAAAGACCCTATTTCCAAATAAGGTCCCATTCTGAGGTTCCAGGTGGGCATGAATTTTGCAGGACGCTATTCAACCCGGTACATACACCCTATGGCCTGGCCGCTCTCTACCTAGGTATATACCCACCGAAATGCACACATGCGTGGCCACCAGACATATACATAACTGTAGGCAGCACCGTTAGCCATCCTACCCAAGGCGGGAAGCCACTCAGATGTCCCTCAACAGGGGAAGGGCTTAATCACTGGCAGGATACTTATCTAGTGGAATGCCACGCAGCAATATCGCTGTTAGGCAGTGACTCGCATTAACCTCCCGTTCTTGAGCAGAGAATCATGATGCAAAATATAATACTGAATCATTTGGGGCGCCTGGGTGGCTTAGTCGGTTAAGCGTCCGACTTTCGCTTAGGTCATGATCTCGCGGTTCATGGGTGTGAGCCCCGCGTCGGGCTCTGTGCTGACTGCCAGCTCAGAGCCTGGAGCCTATTTCAGAGTCTGTGACTCCCTCTCTCTCTGACCCTCCCCTGCTCACGCTGTCTCTCTCTCTCCTAGAAATAAATTAAAAAATATTTTTAAAAAAATACTGAATCATTCCACGTATGCAAAGTCCTCAAATAGACAAAACAAAGCCGTCGTGTTTAGAGAGGCATGCTTAACTGGTGCCATGTCTGAATGTTTGTGCCCCCTACACCAAGTTCATATGTTGAAACCTAACGTCCCTAATGGAATTAAGAGGTGAGGCGTGTGGAGGTGCTTAGGCCTTGATGGTGGAGCCCTCACGATTGGGATTAGTGGTTTCCGAGTGGCCCCCAAGAGATCCCCGGCCTTTTCCACCAAGTGAGGTTACAGTGCAAAGCCTGCAGCCTGGAAGAGGTCGCCCCACTCTGCTGGAACCCCGATCTCGGCCTCCCGGCCTCCAGAGCTGTGAACTAGAAATCCCCGCTGTTCATAAGCTGCCAGTCTGTGGTATTTTGTCCCAACAGCGGGGAACAGGTAAATGCAGTTGGTAAAATTATCAGGACCAAAGTGATGACCACAGAAGTCAGGCCTGTGGGCACTTGGGTAGAAATGAGACGGAGGTGGTTAGAGAGGACTGCAGGCAGGACAGTGCCATTTTATCAAGCTCAAGTACGAGCCAACTAAGCATTAGACACATGGGCACAGACATACATGGTCAACCTACTAAGAAAAAGCAGAGAATGGCAAATGCCAAATTTAGGCTAGCGACGACTTCTGGGGGGGGGGTGGTGGCGGGCAGGAAAATGGCTTATGTGGGACACAGATTCTTGCCAAGGAACTGGCAGTGGCCTGTGAGGTCTGTGAGGTCTGGGGCGGGTTTATGAGGATTCCTTTTGTTGTATGCTTCATATACAGTAACACAGGTGTGTAAGGCACAGGTAACATGTATACATATAACACGTGTAATCTGTGTAGCACATAGATATTAGACATATCTTGGTACATGTCCAATATTCTGTTAAAACAATTTAAAAGGGGTGCCTGGGTGGCTCTGTCACTTAAGCTTGATTTCAGCTCAGGTCATGATCTCATAGCTCGTGAGTTTCGGCCCCGCGATGGGCTCTGTACTGACAGTACAGAGCTTGCTTGGGATTTTCTGTCTCCCTCTACCTCTGCCCCTACCCTGCTTGTGCTCTCTCTTTCTCTCTCAAAATAAATAAACATTAAAAAAAAACAATTTGGGGCGCCTGGGTGGCTTAGTCGGTTAAGCGTCCGACTTTCGCTTAGGTCATGATCTCGCGGTTTGTGGGTTCGAGCCCCACGTCGGGCTCTGTGCTGACTGCCAGCTCAGAGCCTGGAGCCTGTTTCAGTCTGTGACTCCCTCTCTCTCTGACCCTCCCCTGCTCACGCTGTCTCTCTCTCTCTCCTAGAAATAAATAAAAAACATTAAAAAAAAAAAACAATTTAAGAAAACATGGGGTGAAGAGGGCCTGGAAGGGTTTTATTTATTTATTTATTTATTTAATTTATTTCTGAGAGAGAGACGGTGTGAGCAGGGGAGGGTCAGAGAGACACAGACACACACAGACACACACACACACACACACACACACAATCTGAAGCAGGCTCCAGGCTCTGAGCTGGCTGTCAGCACAGAGCCCGACGCGGGGCTTGAACCCACGAACCATGAGATCATAATGTGAGCTGAAGTCGGACGCTTAACCGACTGGGCCACCCAGGTGCCCCGAAGGCCTGGAAGGGTTTTAATGATTTAAGGTTTTACCATCAAGATGAAGCCCCCAGACAGACGATGCTCACTGGTGTGAATGACTCGGCTTAGACGTCACCTCCTGGTCAGAGCAGCCTCAAGCAGGTGCCCCTCTCTGTGCCCCCTCCCAGCCCCATCCCTCGCCGTTTTGAACATCCATCAGCCCATGTCATGTCCTGCATCTCCTCTAGACCAGATTGTGAACTTGGCCCGGGGCAGGGGTTCCAAGTCTGACTCAGTGCCTGACCCATAGCAAGTGCTTTAGGACGCCTCAAGGGTCACCACTCCAAGAACCCCTGACAACTCAGAATAAAAGCAGCCTTAAGCGAGGTTCCCCCCTAAGGATGAGCAGTTCAGCAAGAGACTGACGACCGGCAAAATCACATTTGCAAGAAAGTCATTGCCTTCAAAACTTATTTAAACAGTCCTTTTTGTGCCTCAGTTTGCTCATGGCCAGTGGCTCCTTTTGTCACTCTGTGTCTCCATTCTCTTGGTCCCCAGGGCATCCATCCCTTTCCCTCGATACCTTCTGCTCCTGTGGCACCAGTATAGAACTTTCCTCCCAAAACATGGCCCTTGCTGGGTGTGTCCCGGGCCTGGAGGACTTCACCTACACTATGATGCCATTTAGGCTCCTCGTTTCTTTCCCCACTGGACACCAGCCCAGGCAGGCTCTCCAGGGTTTTCGTGAGTGACCGAACAAGGGAATGCAGCTGAGTCCCAGGGTCGTGCCGTGTGCGGGTCCCTCCTTTCCCTGGCGGCCCAGCTCTGGCTCTGGCTCCAACTTTCCGGTTCCAGTGCTCCCTGGCCCCTGCCCCCAGGCTGGCATCAAGACATCCGGTCAAAACCTCAGTCCTGGACCAACACTGAGGTGGCAGCCCCTGGTCTGTCTAGCCTTCTCTCTCTGCCTCTCCATTGTTCTGGCCAAGCTCCCGTTCTCCCTGTCCCCTCTAGTCTGCTCTGCTTACCACAGCCAGATCAGCCGCTTAACAAAAATCAGATCGGGGCGCCTGGGTGGCTCAGTCGGTTGAGCGTCCAACTTCAAATCAGGTCATGATCTAGCGGTCCTTGAGTTCGAGCCCCGCGTCAGGCTCTGTGCTGACAGCTCGGAGCCTGGAGCCTGCTTCGGATTCTGTGTCTCCCTCTCTCTCTGCCCCTCCCCCATCACACTTTCTCTCTCTCTCTCTCAAAAATAAGTAAGCATTAAAAAAGAGTTTTAAAAAAATCAATCATGGCACTGGGGCTTCTGGGGATAAAGTAAAGCTCCAGTGCAAACCTCTCCCCTCAGCTGGCCTGAACATGGTCACTTGAGGGCCCCAGAGCACCCCAAATTTAACTGCCCCCGGTTGACTCCATCTCTCAGTCCTCAACTGAGCCACCTTCAGACACCGCCTTCCTCAGCCACGACCTGTCAAATCCACCTCCTCTCTTTAGGTTCAGCTGCCACCGTCCTAGTTGGAGCCAGGCCCGTGACAAACACGACTACAATCTCTTGAGCAGCTTGTCTGACGAGCAGCGGCGGTCAGTGAGCTGGGAGCTACAGGGCGCTGGGCATCGGTCGTGGGCACCGTGAGGTGGCTCCCGGCACCCGGCCCTCCTGGCCCAGGTGCACACTGACTTCCGCTGACGAGAGGCACCGCCCTCGCTCTGTGGCTTTTCTTCGGCAGCCTAGTGGCTTAAGTCACAAACATCCGGGTGTCTGAGGGGCGGGGGTGGCTGGCCATAGTGTCCCGCTGTCCAATCACGAGAGCCCAGCTTATGGCAACTACAAACGGTGCCATGGAAACCTTCCTGCCTCTTCCAGCTTCTGGCCATTCCAGGGGTTCCTTGGCTTGCGGCTGTAATACTCTAATCTGTCCCCATTGTCACGTGGCCTTCTTCCCTATGTGTCTGTCTCTGTGTCCAAATTTTCCTCTCGTAAGGACAACAGTCATTGGATTTAGGGCCCACCTGAATCCACCATGACCTTATCTTGACCACATCTGCAAAGATCCTATTTCCAAATAAGGTCACATTGCATGTTCATCGGATGAACATGAATTTCAAGGGGCCACATTAAATCCAGTACATACAGCAAAGTAAAAAAAAAAAAAAAAAGCTTACAGTGCCCACCCGTAGATGCACCCCCTAGGTTGTGCCATTAACGTTTTGCCACTGTTGGCTTCATCGCAAACCTATCTCTGTAGCCACACTTTCCCTACATTTTATTTTTGGCGCACTTCAAACTAAGTTGCAGGCATCAGTTCATTTCCTCCTAAATAAATCGGTGTACATATCCCTAACGAGACTTCACTGATTACAGCTACCAGGTTTTTATTTATTTATGTATTTTTTACAAATAGTTTATTGTCAAGTTGGTTTCCATAAAACACCCGGTGCTCATCCCCACCAGTGCCCCCCTCCACGCCCATCTCCCCTCCCTCCCAACCCCCATCAGCCCTCAGTTTGTTCTCAGCATTCAGGAGTCTCTCATGGTTTGCCTCCCTCCCTCTCCCCCACTATTTACCCCCTTCTTCTCCCCCTTGTTCCTCCGTTAAGTTCCTCCTAATCCTCCTATACGTGCAAACATGTGGTATCTGTCCTTCTCTGCCTTACAGCTACCAGGTTTTTTGTCTGCTTGTTTCTAATAGTCAGTCATTAGTCCGAGAAATCAAACATGGCACAGAAGAAAATAAACAGCTTCCACTTCGTTTGAGGTGGTGTCTGCCATCTTGAGTCTAGCTGTCACTCTGTCCCTTTCCTCTTTAAAGCAAACTTTGAGGGGCGCCGGGTGGCTTAGTCGGTTAGGCGTCCGACTTTCGCTTAGATCATGATCTCGCGGTTCGTGGGTTCGAGCCCCGCGTCGGGCTCTGTGCTGACTGCCAGCTCAGAGCCTGGAGCCTGTTTCGGTCTGTGACTCCCTCTCTCTGTGACCCTCCCCTGCTCATGCTGTCTCTCTCTCCTAGAAATAAATAAAACATAAAAAAAAAAATTAAAAAAAAAATAAAGCAAACTTTGAGAAAAGACAATTTAACGACCGTGTCTCTTTACGCCCAATTGACATCGCTCTCGCCAAAGTTTCCCGTTGTTGCTAAATCCAAGAAACAGTTTTCTATCATCTCACCTGCTTCTTGGCAACAGTTGACTCTGACATTGCTAATCTTGGTGTCCTTGAAAGCACGCTTCTCTCTGGGTTTTCCCCTCTTCCTGGACACTCCTCTGACCTCTCTTCTGGAGCCCCTTCCTCCCTGTCCATTTTAAGTGCTGGGGTTCCGCTGCACGTTATCCGGAGCCCTCTTCTGTCTTCACCGGTCTCAGGCAGACTCCATCTGCAGGAAAAAGAAACCAGTCATGCAATTTTAAGCGGAAGGAATATTAAAACCGGGAGACGCGAAGCCCTGCGTGTGGGGACCTACGGAGCGAGCGGAGCCGTTCCAGCCCCGCCCTACTCGCGATGGGAACCAGCGGCGACGGTGGCGCGCGGTGGGAGCCGGCCGAGCTCGGCCCTGCCTCCTTTCCTACACGGAGCCTGCGCGCCCGGAGACACAGCCAGCCAATCAGTGAAAAGGAGTGGCTGCGAGTGGCATTAGCTTCGTCCAATCGTATGCGGTCCTGAAGACCAGGTCTGCTTGTGAACCAATGGCGGCGGGGGGCGGAGCTCGGGCGGGGGCGACGGTCACCTGATCTGCGGCGGCGGCGGCGGCGGCGGCCGAGGCAGTGGTGACCGACGCTGTGATGGCGGCGACCGCAGCGGCTCGGCTTCGGGCGGGGACGCTGCAGGCCCCGGCGCTCTGGCAGATGCGGTGGCTACTGTTCGTGCTGGTGGCGGTGGCGGAGGGGGAGCAGCAGGTGCCGCTGGTGCTGTGGTCGAGTGACCGGTGAGCGTGGCGGGCCGGGCTGGGGCAGGCTGCACTGCGCGCCGCGACGGCTGAGGTGCCCTCGCCCGGCTCCCGGGCTGTCCTCAGTGAGCGGTGGCCGAGGGGGGCCGAGGGAGACTGTCCAGCCGGATCAGGGCTCGGGCCCCCACGCATCGCGATGGGAGCCGGTGAGCTTCAGATCCTGAGCCATGCGCCCCCGCTCGACAGCACCTCTTCTGTCCCCTGCCAGGGACTTGTGGGGTCCTGCGGCCAACACCCACGAGGGCCACATCACCAGCGACATGCAGCTCTCCACCTACTTGGACCCGGCCCTGGAGCTGGGACCCCGGAATGTGCTGTTGTTCTTACAGGACAAGGTGCGCCAGCCCCAGTCCTCTCTCCCTTCCCCGGGGACACCGAGGCCCGTTTCCCAAGAGAAGCTACAGTGACCTTGTGCCAACTGTAGGGATGTGGGGCTCCTCTCTTGGGAAGGCCTGCAGGAGAGGGTGCGGTGGGAGTGAAGAGGGCCCCGCCATGGCACTGCCTTGATTGGGTGAAGCAGGGGGTCAGAGGGCAGATGCCTTCTGGGTACCAAGTACTTCCCTGAGCTGCTCTGTGTGGTAGGGATTATTGACTCTGTTTACAGATGACAAGACTTCTGTCCAAAGATGGCAGTGGCATAGGACTTGCTTAGGGTCACACAGCTAATTGGTGACAGAGTTGTGATCCTAACTTTAGTGATAAAAACAGAGATGATCGAAAACTGATCATTTATTGAGTGCTTCATAGGCACTGTGCTAAGCTGATGTCATTATCTTGGTTTTACCGCCAGGGAAACTAAGGCTGGAAGAGGTGCCACGGTCGGCTGGTGGGCCGTGGTTTATGTGCACCACAATTGGTTCCAGCCTGAGTCGGCATTGACCCCCCCTGCTTGTGCTCTAGCACACAGCTGTCCCTCCCATGCAGGTCTCTCTGCTTCCAAAGCAGGCAGATGGACCATGCGAAGATTCTAGGGCAGAATTCGTATTTGGGAGTTACCGGGCCCCTGCTTATTCCTTCCCCACTGGCAGCCTGTATGGCTCATCCCCTTATGGTCGTCCCCTGTTGCTCTGTGGGAAGGTAGTGACGGCCATGCTGGCCGGCAGTCCCGCCAGGAGGTGGTAAATAATGTAGTTAGACTGGAACTCAGTTCTAGTTCTACTACTTACCAGCCTCTGGACGTGCGAGATAATCAGGGAATGCCCACTTCCTTTTTCTGGGAAGTGAAGGCACTGCCTATAGCAGAGGGCTGCGATGAACAACTCTTATAGTCCACGGGGAACATCTCTCTGAGGTCCCTGTGTGGCATTCACCCATTCATTCATTTGCCGAACACAGACTGCCTAGTGTGTGCCAGGTAGCAAGTGTTGGGGACGGAGCAGCGAGTGAGTGGAATAACCCAAGCCCTTCCCCGGCGGAAACTGACACTCTTGTGAGGGCATCAGGTAGGTGCTGAGTTGCTGTATGATATGACGCCAGCGCTGTAGTCTTCAGAGAAGGAAGCAGGCCGAGGGAACAGAATGGCAGGTGATGCTGTTTAAGATAAGGATGCTCAGGCAGGGGCTCACTGAGGGTATCTGAGCAGATACCTAAAAGGAGGGGGGCACAGAGCCACATGGGTGTGTGTGGGAGGGCTTCCTGGCAGGGGGAACAGTAGGTGCAAAGGCCCTGGGCAAGGAGTGCCCTCCAGGAAAGAGCTGGTTTGGCTGGAGTGTCATGAGGGAGAGAAGGGGGCGGGAGATGGTCAGCCAGGTAGCCAGGAGATGAGGGGGAAAGGCTGGCTAGAGTGCGAAGATGGTGGGAAGCTGGGGGCAATTTTGAGCGAGGGCCACGGGGAGGACACAGTGGTGGTTCCTGGGCTTACAGAATGAGAGCCCCGGCGGCCAGGAGGCCAGGATCCCTGCCCGGAAAGGAGAGGAGGCTGGGCGAGTGTGTGTACTAAACAGAACGAGCTAGGGGAACTGATTAAGATCCGCTTCTGGGCCTCACTGGGAAAAGCCGGAGGCAGCTGGGAGCTGGGGCCGAGGGGCGGGAGTGAAGGACATCTGTAGGTTGCTGGCAGAGCTCAGAAGACCTCAGGGCCTCCTCGAGCAAGCGCATTCCACTGTCCTCACCTCTCTCCTCCCTTCCACCAAAACCAGGCAGGGAAGGAGGTCCTTGCCCTTGTGTGAGTAAGGCCCCGTCCAGACCAGGCATAGGCGGCGCCACAGCCCTTACAACAGACAACGGCCGGTCATCCGGTTGGTCCGGGCAGGTTCTCGTTTTCTCGGACTTCCGCCCTCGGGACGGTGCGGGGGGTGGGGGGCACTGCAGTAAATGCTACTCGCTGCCCCCACCCCTCCCCCAGCTTCCCTATTCCCTGTCCAGTTCCTCATCTGAGGCAGGTGGCTGACTCTTAATCCTGAGGTTACCGCAAGTCAGCTGCCCGCAGATTTCCTCCCAACCGCGTGACAGCTTCCATGCTTTCTCACCCTGCCGGGAGGGTGCCAAAAGAACAGAAGAGAACCTTCCTTTCCTCCACTCTCTATCCCCAAGTGTGCCTTTGTTCACTCTTATGGCCAGACCATATCTGCCTGTAAATGAGGCTTTGTTGGCCTCGCAAATGCAGAGGGAGGCTGCATGCCCCCTGCCCTGGCCCCAGCTTCTGAGGCACCCTCTCCCCTCCCTCCTAGCTGAGCATCGAGGACTTCACAGCCTATGGCGGCGTGTTTGGGAACAAGCAGGATAGCGCCTTTTCTAACCTGGAGGTAAGAGTCCTCCCCCAGCCAGGCGCCGTGGGGCTGGCCCGGGCCCACCGGTGTCTGGCTAACCATCCTTCTGCCCCTCCCCGGCCCCCAGAATGCCCTGGACCTGGCTCCTTCCTCTCTGGTGCTTCCTGCCGTTGACTGGTACGCGGTCAGCACTCTGACCACTTACCTGCAGGAGAAGCTTGGGGCCAGCCCCCTGCACGTGGACCTGGCCACCCTGCGGGAGCTGAAACTCAATGCCAGCCTCCCAGCCTTGCTGCTCATCCGCCTGCCCTACACAGCCAGGTGCGTCCTGGCCCCGGGGCGCAGGGGCCCGTGCGCTCTGCACTGTGCGGGCGCGGCCCAGCCGGCACACCGCTCCTGCTGCGCGGAACCCGGTCAGAAGTGCCCCGTACTTCTGCAGTACCCTGCGGTACCTTAAAGCCCTATCGGAAAGGTCCTCGGAGGTCCCAAAGAGGCGGGGAGGGCCTCTGGTGCGTTGTGACTGAGGAGTCAGTGCCCGGCCCTGAGTAAGGCTGGTCGGGCCCCCGGGGATGAGGCAGACCTGGGCCCTGCTGGTGGGGGCTGACTCCCTTAGCGAGGACGCGTTCGTGGAACAGCCAGTGGGGCCTCACGTGGCTCTGTGACGCTGGAGGAGGAGGGGCAAGGGCAGGGCCACGCGGTGGGCAGGGGTGCAGAGGGAGGAATGATCACGGCTTCCGGAGCCCCTGCTAGAGTGTGCAGGGTGAATGGGAGTGTTGGGGGAGGGCGGTGGCACGGGGCAGAGGACATGCTGCAGGAGTGGAGGGCAGGTGTCCCGAGGCAGTGGGGAACTCTCTGGGTTGCGGGGGCTCTAACGCTCTGCGTCTCTTCACAGCTCGGGTCTGATGGCGCCGAGGGAGGTCCTCACGGGCAACGGTGAGTGGGCGGGCTCAGGGAAGGCACACGTTTTCCAGCTCACTCAGCCCTTGGCCTCAGAGAGCTGGTTCCAGGTTCCCCAGGCCCTCTTCATTCCCAGGGTGACACTCCCCCCCACTCCTCGGAATGCTTGGCCGCCGAGCAGAGACATGTTGACCCCCAGGCCTCACCCCTGTTGAGCTGGCCCGAGCCGTTGGGACATGTAGGGGCCTTCCATGCAAGCGCGTCCACTCCAGCAGCATGAATCCTAGAGTTGTGGGTTTACCAGACCCTGGGTATTTCAGAAAACAGTTCCGAGGACTTCTTTTTTGCTGTGAAGGACAATCATTCCCCCCAAAAGGTCATCGAAAACGTCTAAGTGAACTTGGCGTTTTCTCTATCTCTATGTCTTTTCTCAATTTAGTTAGGGCTTGGCATCAGGGAGCCGACTGCTGAGGCCACAGGTGTCCCAGGGGAGGCTGGGGGTGCGTGGGATGAGAAGTAGCTGCTCTTTGGGGTCCCTGACGGATCCTAACAACACGAGTGAGGGTTGAGAGGAGCCGGCTCTGTGAAGGTCTCCGAGTCCCACCACAGAGGACGTGTCAGTTGCCAGGGGCGGAAGGCTTCACAACGAAGACATCTGGTGGTCCCCCTCCACCTCCCCCCCCGGCAATAAGATGATTCCACTGAATGCCGTCGAGAGAGGCCACTCACGGGGCACATTGAAGGGTGCAGCCCCGTCTCTGCCGCCTTCTGCTGCGGGACTGGCCGCCGGGTTCTAGCAGGTGTTGGGGCGTTACCTTAAGGAGCTGTCTGTGACCTGGCTCTCTGCTGTCCCCATTGCTCCTCAGATGAGGTCATTGGGCAGGTGCTGAGCACACTCAAATCTGAAGATGTCCCATACACCGCAGCCCTCACGGCGGTCCGCCCTTCCCGGGTACGTAGTGCGCGTTTCCGCAGGGGCCCCAGGAGGTGTGGGCAGAGGCACGTGCTGAG